ATAAATCCTTATTCTTCCATCATAAATAAATAGTTCATGTGTATTAAAAATGGATAGGAAGAGTGTTCGCGCGTTTTATACATGTGACAGTGTTTGTGCGCGTAACAAACAAAAGTTATAATTTTGTAATAAAGCGCTAGCTAGAAAAATGTATTTTTTATTCAGTCATTCATAGCGCAAGGACAAAGACATGGATATGCCTAGGTAGATATAGGCCCTGGTAGAAACTTGAACCGTGAAGGCGAAATTTTCGATCTCCCTGGCCTTCAGCATCTTTTACTGAAACCGCCGCAAATTCAAGATTGCTTTGTCATCAACCAAAAAATATGGGATGTGATTTTTTTTTTGCTTGCTGCATAGGCCTAGAGAGAAGACAGTAAAAAAAGGTAATTAAAACCAAAAAACAAACAACCTACGCTAAATACGGTACTAGGCCTACGGACTTTTGCAAGATTTGTTTAAAAGATGTTCAGCCGTAAAGAATGAGAGGTACCTGTAAGTGATATTACTTATTGAATTATACAGTCATACGCCCACCAGGCTCTGTCTCTTATACACATCTAGATGTGTATAAGAGACAGCGTCATCACCAAGCTTTGGCTTACAGTTCACAAACCTTCCTTCGACGACAATAGGTTGTTTCAGAGCTGGGACCCAATTGATCACATCCAGCGAGAAGCACTTTCGAATGAGGTTCAATGCAGCCAAGTGGTCTGGTTCCATATCCTCCACAACAGGAATGTTGATATCAAAATAGCTGCCATCTAGAAGAACAAGTGCTCTAGCATATTGTCGGATTAAGATGTCAAATTGTGGATCAGAATCACAGTACGCGATGGAAGCACGTGGAAGGTCTACGGCAATACCATACATGATCCTCAACAGTATAATGCGGATATGTGATGGCACATTGATCCAAACCAGTGGTGGATGTGCTGGCTTAAAATCTCCATCAACCTCAGATCTCTCAACAGTAAAACAACATTTGAAATATTTGTTGAAGAAACCGGCAAGTGCGGACCGTCTGTAGAACAAGAAAGCAGCTATAATTATCATACATCTATAATACATTAGCATAATTTATAAATATCGATGTATGTTTACGAAAACTCTTTTGAACAAAATTTCTGATAAGATATTTTTTTTATACATATTATCATCATTATACCATAGATACTAAAATTATATTAAAGCAGGTTTAACATGAAGATGTGAAAACTTTTTTTTACCTTTTTTGACGTCCTTGAGAATTTCGATTAAATAGACGATTGATTCGTCCTGGCATAATCTAATGAAAAAAAGTTCAAATTTAAGAATGGCCTAATGAACTGTAGACATAAAAATGACATTACAAAATTATATACAATAATAAGTAATTTTAAAATCATAGCAAAAAAAATAGTACTAACATTATTATAGTTGTAATAATAAATAATAGTAACAAAAGAATACTATTAGTAATAAACGAATAATAATACTAATAATAATAATATTATTAATAATAATAATAATAATATCAACAACTGGCAAGGATGCCAACAATAATATTAATACAGTAATAAAAATATTAATCATAATAAAAAATTAGTAATAAGATAAAATTATAATACTGTAATAACAAAACAATTACGTTTCATGAAAACAAAATAAGCAGCCTACACTTACCAGTAAAGTACAGCGTAAAATAAATCAATTTTCTTTCTGTAAGAAGAAAATATATTTAATGTAAGTATTACAAATGGATCAGAATCCTTCGGTTCTAGAAATAAAATCGGCTTAGGCCTATTCCGCCAATGTGATCCTAAATATAAGTTACTTATAATTTTGTTAGCTATGATTATAGAAAATATTGGAATTGCTATCACTAACTCATAACCAGTAAGTCTTGCTGTCATAGAATAGTTTCTTAACCATTTGCCTTTATTTTCAGATCCAGAAGACTCGGTCTGTCTGACTGCAGTTTCAGCCGTTCGCCAGGTCTACGTTTTTGGCCGTACTTAATTTTGTTAATCTTGTTTGATTTTATCGTCGTACGCAGACAAAATGTGTTGTGTATAATCTTCAACTTGAAATACTAGTTAGGAACTTAACTTTTTGATGACAATGTCATAAATAACTACAAAAAATGCAAAACTTACAGAGAGTTTGGTTAGCCAATGTTATCCTCTTCAAATTCATGAAGTGTATTGTTGCAATCTCCATGACTGTCACTACAACAAACAATGTTACCATGAGCACGCGTAAATGAACGCACATTTATGTTCGCGCACTGCGCAAAATCTTATCCGTTTTTTGAATCCTTCAGTAAAATCCCAGTAGAATAATACCATCAGTAATGCATCAATCGTCGCATTTTATTTGTATTTTTGTAATGCAGCAATACCGAACTGGTTTGAACATAGTACCTCCATGGTTAAGACTATTATTGAAATCTGCTTTTCTGATTTCAGTTACAGTAGTAGCAATGCCGAAACAATGGGTACCAGAAGTTCGTGTGCGATCGGTGTATGGGGGATGGGAATGAGTGCGTACTAATGAGCGCGCAACACTTTCGATTCCTACTATAAGAATAACACACGCGTATAAATAAATCCCATAACCCCTTTCGACACTCTCCCCCAGAGCCGTTGATAGAGCATGAGATAGAGAGAGTTTTGCCCATAGAGATATAATAAGAATACTAGAGCGCTAACCGCAATGTATTCGATGTTCGAAATACGCAGAACTGTGTGTGTGTACCATCCAAGATGGCTGCCACAGATTTAGCCAATCGAATTTCGCTAAGCACCATCGTTTGCAATTGCGCCCTCAATTTACTCAGAAAGTTCAGTACAGCTAGTTACCCCTTTTGTTTGAAACTCGAGCGTTGAGGTGTTTGGGTGTAATGTACACGACTTTAATTTTCATTCCTCGGTACTTTACTTTTGAATAAACTATCGTTTTGGCTACAATAGTTTAATAATTTGTTATTACCATTACTCATTATCATTAATGAAATAATAGTCAGTCAGAGGGCAATTATTAATAATGTAATATGTATACTAAGCCTGAAGGTGGCGCTTTACAACGACGGCCATCTTGGATGGTACACGTACACAACTATGCATTGCTGCGCCATCTTGTCAGTACTCTAGTTGTTTAATAGCTCTATGGTTTTGCCAACTCGGTTTCACTGGATTCGATATACGCGCGTGTGATTGGGTGGATCGCAATCACATGATTACACCGGCCATGTTGTCGCCAAAACAAAACATTAAAGCTATACGCGCGCATGCGCCTGGGCTGTTTGGTAACGACATGGTGTCCATGCGCAAAGTTGGCCAAACTTTCCCCTCGCGCGACGTAGTCAGATGCTGGCGGTGTATCCAGATTTATACCGAAGTGACGTGAAATCGCAACCGTTTGCAAAAATTCAAATTTATTTATTCATTCATCAAAATATACTTGATAGAATTAACATCAATGAAGCCTGGTTTCCAGATAAAAATCGCTACGCGTTATCGCTGACTCCTTTGGCGACGCTAATTCGTCAGTTGAATCAGGAAGTGTTCCCGATTACGTCTGGGACAAGTACCGTACGCAGTGCAATGATTGCAGTGAAAACGATGTAGTGACTGTGTAGCGATTCTATGAAAACTAGGCTTGAGAAGCAAAAAACGAATACAACATTACAGAACAACTTAAAATGAAATGAAAGAACGAACACAAACAAACACCAACACAATAAAGCACAGGATTTATAGTTCACAGGAATGGCGAGGGTAGAGTATTCCCTACGGTGGCCCGCAAGTCACGCACAATATAAATAGAATCGCACAATTAAAGAAGGCCGCAACAAATTCGAAAGTACCTCGCACAATTAATGAAGTCCGCAACAAATTCGAAAGTAGACTCACACAATTGAAGAAGTCCGCAACAAATTAAAAAGTAGGCTCGCACAATTAAAGAAGTCCGCAACAAATTTAAAAGTTCCCCGAGCACAAGAACTTCGCAAGGCCTGTTTGAGATAAAAATCTAGCTAAGTAAGCATGGGTGTATGCAAGGGAGGATCGGGATGGTCGTACGACCCCCCCCCCCTCCCCAAATATTTTTAAAGGTCCATTTTTCCGAAGACATTTTGCTAGGGCCTTTTAACAATGACATAAATGAAAAAGCATTGACGAGGTACCAGCAATGAGTCGAAAGACCTTGCCAACTGCGTGACATAATCTATCTCAATTCCAGCATTTCTGAAACTGAGCCTGCCATCCGCTTCGCGCTGGTGGCGCTGTAATCGATATTCCTGTCTCTCTCTGAAAGGTTAAAAAAATATGATCACGAACCCTGTCTCTGCATGTTTGGATCAGACAAAGATGAGGTCATCTTTATTCAGCAAAGAATAAAGACCCAGAAAGAGATGGATGGACTGCATCAGACAAGATGGAAGATTTGGTGGACCTAGAAGCAGTATATGGATCGCTCTGTATTCATTTTAATAAATTGCAATAAAAATACAAAATAATAACCGATTATAGCGCCACCTTTAGTGATAAGTGTGTGAGTGTGGTGTACTTTGACATTCAGACCGACCGAAGGGCGGAAACTCAGAAGCGGTAATAATAATGGTTGATTGTTTATTTTGATACTGTACTTCAAAATGTGAACCTTGAAAGAAGACTGCTTGATGTTTGATTAACTTAGATAAACATGGCTCGTAGCATTAAGTCCCGTTATGCTTCCGATATGGCATTGGACCATTCTTCAATGCATTTGTTGGACACCCATCGTGGAGGCGGCGGTACGCAGTCAGGCCTGGGTTTGAGATGTATGACGCCGGGCTCAACAGCCAGCCTGGGCAGATCTGTCGTGCACCAGTCGCACGTTATTACGGTCAGTGGAAAATACCACAGGCCTAGACCAAATAAAAGGTCTAATAGTAATGATAACAGTGACGAGACAGGATTTGATAATAGTTTTGAGCAGAGGAGAACAGCTAGCTTACCAAGAATTGTCCATGACCGAGTTGTAATGAGTGTTGAAAACCTGAGTAGCACTCAAACACAATCTCAGCATTCTTTGGACCATTTAGAACCTCTATCTGAGACAGTATCAGAGCTGCATTTAAATGATTATAATACACCGAGGCCTGTGCTGTCTTCTTCAAAAGTGATGAATGGCAAGTCTTACAAAAAAATGCGCAAGAAACCATCTTTTAAAAACTTTGGTGGACTTGTTCAACGCATGGTGCGACAAATGAAAACTATGGATGTTGACACTCATTCAAGCTCGTCGGATTCTAGTGAACATCTTGATAACGAAACACAACCACCGTCCAATTTTAAGGACAACAAAAATACGAAAGTGAGTAAGGTTAATGCAAATGCGAACACAAATGGTGACGTACCACGATTACTAGGTGGGAAGATGCCAGGACTGTCCGGTCTGAAGAATCACGGAAATACATGTTTCATAAACGCAATTATACAGTGTTTGAGTAACACGGACATGTTAGCGGAATATTTTGTCCTGGAGCAGTATAAGCAGGACTTGAAAAGGCTAAAACGGAATCGTAACAGCAAGAAGTTTGGTACCAAAGGGGAGTTGACCGAACAATTAGCCATTCTCCTACGGGCATTGTGGTCTTGTCAGTACACGCCGCAATTATCTATGGAATTTAAGAAAGTCGTAGCTCGCTATGGATCACAGTACCGTGGCAGCGAGCAGCATGATGCCCAGGAATTCTTGATGTGGCTTTTGGACAAAGTTCATGAGGATTTGAACAGCGCCACCAAGAAGAAATATAAGACTTACAAGGTAAGTGATTCTAGGGATTTTATAAATGGCAGTGGCTATTTTTACACCAGTATTTAGAATAATATATCACCTAATCAGAATTATGAATTCAAAGACTGGTGGTGAAGCAATAGCTGCTGCTTTTTAAATGTAAATATTTCCAGCTACAGAAGATATTTTTAACATTTTTTGATGAGAACATCATTGATAATGTTGTTTTTTTGTACTATTTGGGGTACTATTACTTTTATTTATCTTAAAGTTAGCCTTTGTACACTGTTTTTATTTTATTTATTGTCTTTCTGTATTTAATAGTTTAATCAATAATTTCTTTCATAGGTGTCTTGATAGAAGGTGATACATTTAAAATTGACAATATTTATAGTTTCCCATTCCAGTACAGTATATGATAGCACTCAATTTAATGGCATGTGCATTTTGTAAAAGATTGTTGTATCTTTTTAAACAACTGCTATATGAGACAGTATGTGTTTATGGTTGCAGTGTGCTAATTTGACACTCTACAGTAGGTTACAGTGTTTTTGAAGGTACTGGAAATAGTTGTTAACATAGGCTTAGCCAGCAAGCCATCCGGCCGTCTTTTGGACGGCCTACAATTATTTAGGATGGCCACTTTTACTAAGACGGCTTGGCCTTTAGCAGCTCGGCCTAGCCTAATTGGGCCTGGTCTACCTTTAGCAAGTTCTTTATATTCTTCAAATCTATCGAATGTTACATTAAACTAAAGCTTAAAATCAAATTTATTTTTGATGAAAACAGCATTTATTGTTTGAATGTACATGGTTTTCGTACCAATATCGGTGGGGATTCCCAAAGATGGACGTGGCCATCGACCGAATGCCACGCCCACTGGCTTCCATTTTGGATGGCCTATTTTGTTTTTCTGGCTAAAACCCTGGTTGTTATGTAGTATGTTGCTGCATTACTGTATTTTGTGTTGATGGTATTTTTATAGTGTTGTATTACAGGACTGAATATGGTCTGGTTCATATTTTGTAACTTGCTGTCCATTTTGTACCGAGGTCCTACTATGCAGTTGGTTAAGCGTGAGGGCTGTGGGCCTACAGTTCTGTATGCTGATGGTATGTCTGTTGATGCTACAGTAGGCCGTACTACTACAGTACTGTAGTTGTTTGATGACTGTTGAGTGCATGTCATATTATTAATGATTAATTACTTTAATAAAAGTTTGATTTTAGACTTTTATTATTCTGCTGGTAGAATGTTCAATATTATATTTAAAGTATAAATTTAATGTTGTGTGTAAGTAAGAGACAGAAACATAAATTATAATAAAAAAAAAATATAGAAGGAGGATGATACATGCGAAGGTCAATCAATAGGCAAAAAATGTAAGAAAAGAATTTGTATAGGAAAGTGGAGTTATTTAGGTATAAACTTTGCTTCTTTCTCGCAAAAAGTACATGATAATTGCTGCCATTTTGATTTTAGATCATACTGTACTGTATACTGTTGAATTCTTTGCCTACAGTACAGACACAAATTAATGCTTCGTATCTGTTCGTAGGTACGTTTTGAACGTAGCTACGAACCACTACGAAGGTCATTGTTATTTTAATTAGCTTTGCAATGGTCGTAGGCTGGATTGTCGGGCTGATAAACAATGCGAAAACAATATTGAAATATAGTTTACCAGCTTTCAACACGTGAGCAATGTTGCAATTTACTAATAAACAATGTTAGAACTTTACTGTTATGTTATATCCTACCTTATTATTAGATCGATCATGTTTTAAAACTGTGTTTAGTTCCCTAGCTAGGTAACCTAGTGGGCATTCAGTATGTTCGAATTTTGATGTCATTTAGGCCTACGTACGGCCTACATTTTCCGCTATAGAGGAGGAGAGCAGATAGTAATTATACTGGTAAACTTTTCAATTCGGAGAATTTTGATCTGATATTATTGTTTTGGTAGTAGGAATTTTCTTCTTTTAAATAATAATACTGATGACAAATCATGTGCAAATTATTACGATTTCTACAGATCACGTTGTTTAATTTTTACTGTAATTTGAAGCAGAACCTGCAAAGCGATCCAATGGAAGTATAGAAATCACTACCTTGCCGAATTAAGGCTAGTCATGCTAGACCGCATTTACTTCGTTTTTGACTCACTGTCGCTCACACAGCTTTTCAACATTTGCCACAAGGTTAACCTTTAACACACTTTACTGTGTTCTGATTGGCGCGCACTCTGACGTCTGATGCTGGCTAAGTTTTATTTTCCATTGGGTTTTCCATGTGACATTCGGTAATTTTACAACCTAATTCTCCTTTATATTTATTATTTACCTTTACTAAATCAAGACTACAAAATATTATTTGATGAACAACCTTTTCACATGTGTGTATTGTCATTGAGGACATCATTTTTTGACATTTAAAAGAGGTAAAATAATTGTAAATAAAAAAAGAATCTAGACCTAGGCCTAGACTAATTAATTAAAAAAATAATACAGCAGTACAAACAAGTTCCTGTCGTGGACAGCGGGTGAAAGAGGAGACTCCCATGAAGTCAAGTGTACATTTTTCTTATTGAAAAACAGCTCCATACTTTAAATTAACGGTCTAAACTCGTGCTTGTCGTTCACAAATTATCAAGCAATACATTGTTTATTCCAGTAAGCTACAGCTGTCTTTTTGCACATACAAATAAACAACATGCTTTTGCTTCGTAGGTTCACTTCGCGTAGCCTTGCTTAAATTGTTTATATCAGGCTACGATGTATCTACGAAGCCTGCGCGCAGGTAAAATTGCAATAGTTTGTGGCGGTACTGTAGTATATACTTTTCACAGTATAGTACAACCTTCCAATTTAAGAACCCTCTCTTTCCGACATCCCTCTAATTCGAGACCACTTTTTAAAAAGAATCAAATAGCAATCTTCAATTTTTTTTTAACAAAGAGCTAACCCTCTATGTGGAGATTAAAACCAAAGATGAACCCTAAATTTTCCGACCCCAAAGTGGTCTCGATTTGGAAGGTGAACTTAACTCATGAAAAGTGGTGAATTAGGGAGTACTCTGGGAAAAATTCTCCTTCTCTCTTCCGTAGAGAGTACTGCATTCATTAACGTGCACATGACGATGTTACATGCAGGCTTTATATGTCTCATCTAAAAAAAATATAGGGTGCAATGATACTTGCATTTCAACCATCAAGCTGCAAGAAACGCAAAGTGAACAATGGTAGAAGTGAACCAAGGACCAATTATAGATCCACATGGTTCAGTGCCCACAAGTGTCTGCCACCAGTTCAGCCGACTGAACTATAACTGCCCTCATGACCGTATTTTCCAGGCTCTCCTATCATGTGTACCGTACATGGCTACATCAATGTTGTCCAATGGTACATGCTTTGAAAGGATTCAGTTCACTGTAACACTGATTTACAGAGTGATAATACCAGCCAATTTATACTAGGTTCAATGTAAACAATAGGAAAAATGGTTACAACAAATATTTGAATTTTCATTTTAACATTGTACTAACTATACAGTGCATGAGAACTGAAGTGTGTGTTGGCTAGTTGCCTAAATACAGTAATTATACTCTTTACCTTACAGTACAGTACTTTATATTTCTAACAGTACAGCCTCTTCTATTGTGAGAGCTGAAAACCTTTTTATTTTAATATTATTTCCTTGGATTGATTGTTATTCACAGTTCTCCTACTTTCAGCCAACTTCTTTTTTGAAGACGTGAGCGTAGACCTACTAATTTCTTTGAAGTGGATTAGCGCGCTACATAAATTTTCATATTAATATGTTTACAAGTCTACTTCGTGAATACTTAACTGGATAAACCGACTAATTGCCTATTCTTTCTCCTACGAGAAACATCCCTAAAAAATAATAGAACAGTCGACTCTTGGCACCAAGCACAAGCGGCCCCGCAACCAAGCAACTTCCTCATTCTTTTTCGATCGTTTGATTTGGGCATCGCTGCGCCCGAGGCTGAGCTTCCAGACCATCGTTGGTCAACATTCAAGAAGACGCGACCTCTTTGCATCGTCGCATTTGTGTAACTAAGCTGACACCAAATTGCACAATGTCTTTACATTCATTTTTTAAGAAGTTCTAGGAGATACCGTAGTTTAACACTATAGCATCTGTGATTTCACTAATTTAAATACATAGGAAATATATTCATTGGTCTGCAGTTGATACCCATGGACTGGAAAATAAGGTTAAAGATGTGTCACACAGGTAAATTATCACAGACTCCGTTACCATTCATAAATTATTTGTCGTACCCCTCATATCACATTGTCTATGCAATAATGACCCATACTTAATTTTACATTGTAACCATAAACTGAATATATCGTAGAATATTAAAATACTTTCAGCTTGAATTGGTCTGTTCTAGGCTGTATTATCAATTCATACAACTCAACATGCCAACAGGTTGTCCACAGACTTAACAGAGTTACAGTATAGTCGCGGGCACGAGGCCAGCTATACAGTACCAAACATTTTACAATAATAATATTCATTTCACATATATGCTAATTGGAAATATTACAAACTGTCATTAAAAGCTACTTAAAACAGTTGTTGTAATGTTTACAGCTTAAGGCTAGAATAATACGAAATTGAAAATAATAATACTCCAAATCATATCATTCTGCTGCAGAATACTGTAGGCATACGGTGCTCAGCTAGGCCGTTTGTAATAATTAATATCAATAGACCTACTCTACATCCGACATCACTTGTTGTAAACTAGGCCTAGGCTGGCCTAATCTTAACCTATCTAGCCTAGGCCTAGAGAATGCACCAAAAGAACACAATATATTGATAAATGTTGGAAGATTCCTACTTTGTGTAATATATATATATTTTAATACATTGGTCTCCAAAATTAATCGACGTTGTTTATTGATAATCATTGTAACATCACCGTTGCTAGATAGGTTAGTGTTGAATTAACTATCAACAATAACTGACACGCGGACACGATTTCGTTAAATAAAC